GTTAGCCATGGGAAATGTAGGGTTAGGGATAGGGTAGCAGAGTGCGTCTGGGTGAGATGCTTTTCAGAGGGGTGGTTTGGACTCCATGGGCTGAATGGCCTGCTTCCATACAGTAGGGATTCTATGGTTCTACATTTATTGATGTTTAGAGGAATGAGAGGGTACTTGGAAACCTATGGTATTTTAACAGGGTAAACACAGGAAGGAAGTTTCTGATGACCCAGGGAGCCTAAAACAGGGGTCCCCATTGAAGGATACGGAGTAGGCCATTTAGGATTGAGATGAGGAGAAATGTGCTCACCCAGAGAGTGTTGAGCCTGTGCACTTCTCTGCCACAAGAGGCCAAAACACTGCATGCTTTCGAAAAGAAGTACTTGGGTCTAAAGGGGGTCACAGGGAGAAAGGGGGAAGGAGGTTACTGAGTCAAATGATCAGCCATGATCATATTGAATGGTGGAGCAGGCTCGTTGGGCCAAATGGCCAACTTCTGCTCCTATTTCTATTTTTCTATGCAAGTATATGGTGAAGAGGATATGGGACTGCAAAGGAATAGATGGGTTAAGTGAGTGAGTAAAGTGATGGAAAATGGAGTATAATGGGTAAGTGTGAAGTTGTCTATTTAGGCAGGAAGAACGAAAAAGAAGCCTGAAACATAAATAGTGAGAAATTGCTGAGTGCTTACTTGCAGAAGGACCCCGGTGTCCTAATGCATGAATTGGGGTACAACAAGTTATTAGGACAGCAAACGGAATGGTGTCATTTATTGCAAGAGGAATTGAACACAATATTGGGGCCGTTATGCCTCAGTGACACAGGACACTGGTGAGACCGCATCTGGGGTACTTGGGAAGTCTGCAGAGAACTGATCATCTTCATCCCAGAGTACTAATGGTAGCGGCCCTAGAACAATTACCTACGTAGTTTCTTCAGTTCTAGGTGCAGAACTCCATCTCTGTTTCATGCCAATGTTGTCCATGACTGCTGGTTGTTTGTCCATCTCCATTTAGGGTGCACTGCTTCTGAACAGTAACAGCCTTGATGCTAACGCAGGGGAGCAATGCATCGTCCTGGATTCATATCTGTAGCGACAGAAAGGTCTGTCTGTTTCCCCTAACTATCAAATCTCCGTGTATCCCAGCTGCTGTTAGAGACAAGGGAGAAAATCGCAGGAGTCCTGACCTAAATTTTCATCAAATCCCTAAAGTGTGGAAGCAGGTCGTTTGGCCCATCGAGTCCACGTGGACCGTCCAAAGAGCATCCTACCCAGATGCACCCTCCTCCTCTGTCCCTACAACCCTGCATTTCCCAGGGTGAATCAACTTAGCCTGCACATCCCTGGACACTATGGGCAATTTAGCATGACCAATCCACCCTAACTTGCACGTGGGGAGAGTGTGCAAACCCCACACCGAAAGTCGCCCAAGGGTGGAATCGAACCCAGGTCCCTGGTGCTGTGGGGCATTAGTGCTAACCACTGAGCCACTATGTCACCCAATGCTTCAGTTTCTCTCTGGCCACAGGGGAGCTGCCAGAGGACTGGAGAACAACTAATGTGGTTCTACAGTTCAAGAAGTGTGGTAGAGATAGACCAGACAGTTTCAGATCTGTGGGAGTGAAATAATTGGATAAAATTCTGAAGGAGAGAATAATCTCTGTTTAGAGGAGCAAGGTTCGATCGGGGATAGTCAGCTTGGCTTTGTCAGAGGGTGGTCATGCCTAACAAATGTGGTGCAGTTTTTTCTAAGGCAGCAGGGCAGTTTGATAGGGCATGGGGAGGCGATGGCCTAGTGGTATTATCGCTGGACTGTTAATCCAGAGACCCAGAAAACATTCTGGGACCCGGGTTCCAATCATATCTCGGCAGATGGTGGAATTTGAATCCAATAAAATATCTGGAGTTAACAATCTAATGATGACTGTGAATCCATTGTTGATTGTCAGAAAAACCCACCTGGTTCACTAATGTCCTTTAGGAAAGGAAACTGCCATCCTTACCTGGTCTGGCCTACATGAGACTCCAGACCCACAGCAATATGGTTGACTCTGAACTTGCGCTCTGGGCAATTAGGGATGGGCAATAAATGCTGCCTAGCCAGTGATGCCTTCATGCCATAAACAAATAAAGAAAGAAAAGGTCAAGAAGGCATGTGGGAGCTTTGCTTTTGTGAGCCGAGGCATAGTTTATAAGAGCAGGGAAGGTTATGTTGGAGCTGAACAGAACTTTGGTTAGGCAACAGGTGGAATACTGTGTGCAATTCTGATCAGCACACGATAGGAAAGATGTGATCGCACAAGAGGGGCTGCAGAGGAGATTCACCAGGGTGTTAGTTATGAAGAGAAGCTGGATAAACTTGGATTATTTTGTTTCGAGCAGACAATGTTGAAGGGGGACCTGATAGAGGAGTATGAGATTATGACAAGAACTGGGTGAATAGAAAGCAGCTGTTCCCCTTAGCTAAAGGGTCAAGAGCAAGGAGGCACAACATTTAAAAAGCACAGTGAGCACTTGAAATGCAAGGCTAAGGGGCTTGGACTAGAAAGTGAGACTAGTGCAGATTTAATGTAGTTATAGCTAAGATTTGATTGATGAAGGGCCTCATCTGTACTGTATGATTGTATGATTCTTCTTATTATTACTCTTCCAATCTTTGTGCTGTTTTGTTTAGCTGAGCCACCCATGGAGTGGGCTCTGACAGCACTCCTAAGATGAACTGTCACTCTTTTGCGTATGCAGTAAGAGCACCCCTCCACTATCTGCCTGTTTCTTCTTGACTACCTGCCCTTGGGTATCTCGATTGTTTTTGAAATTAATTTTTGTCTCCGTTTCTGCCAGCCCTACGGTAGTGAATTATAGGTCGTTACCATTTTGTTGCATAAAATAAAGGTTCCTCTTCATGTTTCCCTTGCACCTCTTACATAAAATCTTAATAGGCTTGACAAGGTCAGAAATCACATGACACCAGGTTATAGTCCAACAGATTGATTTGAAAACACAAGCTTTCGGACCCTTGCTCCTCCTCCAGGTGTTAGCGAGGTGGTATCAGGCACAGAATTTATAAGTAAAAGATCAAAGGGTCACACCACTGATGAGGATGTATTAAACAAACCTAAGATGCTGTTAAATCTTTAATCAGTTAGAAGGTTTGAGTTGATTAATGCGTACATGTAAATCCCCGAATTCCTTTCAAGTCACTGCCCAGAGAGAATTAGACAGTTATGAAAGGAACAACGTGCCAGAGGAACGGGGAGAAGTTGTGAGAATGGTTTTAGGATGCTTATTCAGAGAGCCACCTTGGAAACAATGAACTTAATAGTGGTTGCCGGCAATTAAACGGTTCAGTCATATGCTGATAGAAGGAAAAGATGAGATTTGGATTGGGTTTCGTGTAAAATATAAAGCAATTGGACCAACTGACACTCTGAAATTTCATTGTAACTGGCGTTGCAGTTTGTACGTTCCGCAATGTTGCTAGTTCCTTTTCAAGGTCCCTTTAGTAATAATTTTAATGAATACAGCTTGCCAAATTTTATTCTGTTGTCAAAAGCCAATGCTTGAAATCTGAAGTGCAACTGGAAAATGGCGGATAAAAACAGGGAGAAGTGTGGATGCTGGAGATCAGAAACAAAAAAACGTTGCTGGAAAGGCTCAGCAGGTCTGGCAGCATCTGTGGAGAGAAATCAGAGTTAACGTTTCAGGAAAATGGTGGGACACCCTGTGGGTAGAGAAGCAGAGTACGCATTTCTGATCAGTGATCTTCTGTCAGCACTGTTCTGAGCAAAGGTCACGGAGCTAAAAGGTTAATTCTATTTGTCCCTCCCCAGACATGCCTGACTTTGGTGAGTATTTCCAGTGTATTCTGTTGCTACGTGTTCTACCGTATCATCTTTTTTTTATGTTCTGAAGGGATAATGAAATCATTGAACTGACACTGCTGCAAGCAGATTAATGAACAATGCTTTCTGATATGTTATCACTATGTCCACACTCCTTACACGGACATTGTTCCATGTAAATTTTCATTTGAAGTAACATCTTGATGGAATTTGGTCAAGATAAGTTTGTGGTCGTTTCATCTTTGGCAATTCCCTTGACTTCGATGAAAATGTCTCGCATCTCCTGTTTCTTCATAGTCGTTCAACATGGAAACAGACCCGTTGGTCCAACCAGACCATGCCAATCATAATCCCAAACTAAACTCGTCCTACCTGCCTGTGTTTGGCCCACATCCCTCCAAACGTTTCTTATTTGCATAAGTACATGAATGTCTTTTAAACCTTTTAACTGTACCTGCGCCCTCCACTTTCTCTGGAAGTTCATTCCACATGAACAACTCTCTGCGTAAGAAAAAAAAATTGCTCCTCCTGTCTTTTTTAAATCTTTCTCCTGTCACCTTAAAAATATGCCCCCTAGTCCTGAAATCTACTACCCAAGGGAAAAGACACTTGCCATTTACCTTATCTACACTCCTCATGACGTTATAAACTTCTATAAGGTCACCTCTCAACTTCCTATCCTCTGTGGAAAAGAAAAAGTACCAGCCTTTCTCTATAACTCAAACCTTCCATACCCGGCAACATCCTGGTAAATCTCTTCTGAACCCTCTCCAGCTTGATAATATCCTTCCTGTAACTGGGCAACCAGAACTGGACACAGTGCTCCAGAAGAGGCCTCACCAACGTCCTGTACAACCTCAACATGACGCCCCCACTCCTATACTCAAAGGTCTGAGCAACGAAGACAAGCGTGCCAAACACCACCTTAACCACCCTGCCTATATCTGATGTAAACTTCAAAGAATTATGTACCTGAACCCCGAGGGCTGTCTGTTCTACAACACCATATTAGGCGCCACCATGAATTGTAAGGCTGTTCTTGTGATCGTGGCTATGAGATGTTTTGTGTTGCCTAGAGCGGGCAGGTGGAGCTTGTGGTTTAATACCTGGCATGAAATCCCATCATTAAAAAGTGAAACTGACCCATTTGAATTTCTCCCCGACAGGTGCAGACCCACCTGGAGAACCCCACCAGGTACCACATTCAACAATCCCAGCGCCAGCAGGTCAAGCAGTATCTATCCACCACCATGGGGGCTAAGGCTGCCAGCCCAGTTCTGGCTGGCTCTCACTCCCCTGGACCTGGGGCAGTGGGCAGCACCCCGAACAGCCCCATGGCCCTGCTCAAAATCGATGCCAACCCGGAGAAGGAGGTGAGCCCTTCAGCTGGGATGTCTGCAGGAGGTGTTTGCCAGGGGTTTACAGGGTTATTTATTTGTTGGAGCTTAGGGCATTTAAGGAGCGGGTGGAGGCACATCACTTGCTGATAGTCACTGAGCCTTCAAGGGGGTATTCAGAGGAGAGACGGGCTTTATTAAAAAGAGGCATGTTGTTTCCTGATTTAGAGGGTCATATTTCACTTGAGCACAGTGCTTATGTGTCTGTGGTTGTGGATTTGGGTTTACTCTGATTATTCAATGCTGCAAAGTCATTTAAAATTGGTTCAGGATTTACTCTAAGGGTTTATCGTGGTTTGGCGTGTATATTGCGGGCACCGAGACGGTAATGACTCTGTTCCGGGGTGTGTGCTGGGGCGTTGCTGTATGTGCTCTGAGTGTATCTTGGAGTTTTTCAGACAACTTCAGAAAGGGACTTGGGTGGCATCTAATGGGGTGCTTGGCTTTTTACGAATTGTGGCTGTCGTCCAATCGGACGTGATGGAACTGGCTGTGTTCACAGATGGACGATGTCATTGACGAGATCATCAGCTTGGAATCGAGTTACAATGACGACATGATGGGATTGGCCAAACCGGTCCTCCAGATGCCCAATACCGTGAGTCCACCTACTGCATGGTCCCTCGCGCTCTCCGCTATCTCCGACCCACCCATATCCCATGAAACAAGGGCAGAATAGGCCAACCTGTAACTCTTGGGATCCCTATTAGTAACTGGCCTCACATCAGCTACAAATACAGGTACAAGAGTGATAGAGGTACAAACAAACGCAGGTGGGCAGGCACATTCAATGTGAATGTGGTTACACCTAGGCTGGGAGGGTGGATTTACAGCTCTACCCCCTTGGCAGGTGAGTGCAGTTAGAGTGTTGCCATCTTGTGGGAGGGTGGCATTACAGCATCTTTCTAACTTCCAGCTGAACCTGCAAGTTAACCTTAAGGGAATCCTGAATTAGTATTCCCAAGTTCCTTGTTCAGAAAGTAGTCTGTGCCTCTACTTTTCCTACCAAAGTGCAGTGAGCTCACAACTTTCCCATGTTGTATTTCAGCTGCCGCTTCTTTTCCCACTTTCCTAGCCTGTTCAATGCATCTTCCCCACTTCCTCAATGGTACCTACACCTTCATATACATTTATGTTATGGTGCCTCCCTCTGGTGGAAGGGCAGTGTTACAGTGCCACACCCTTGTGGAAGTACGGTGTTGCGATGGCCTGTATCTTTTGACCCATACGTAAATATTGAATGCCATGGTGTCTGTAATATTTTATTATGTTTCTTGCTGTGTCTCTTTGAATTTTCTCTACACTAGATGACAGCAGTCTAACAATCTTTTCTCGCTCTCCCTCTCTCTCTCTTACCCCATGCACAGTTGCCAGTGTCCAGGAACCTGCTGAGCATCTACACCACTCAAAACATGACAAATGCAACAGTTACCATCAGCAACTCGTGTCCAGCCAACTTACCCAACAGCAAAGAGAGCACAGGTACTAGGGCCACTGGGCACCACCTCCCTTTCATGTCATTTCTTGTTCCTCCTCTTTGTGTTTTTTTTTAAAACTTATTCTCTCTCTTTGCACCACCAGCTCCTTGTTTGCACCGTACTCCCAAACGCTCTTTCAGCTGAGGCTCAGTTCTTAACACTTACATCTGAGTCTTAGAGTTCCAGCTTCAACTCCTATCCCGGGACAGGAGTTCAGTAATCTAGGCTGACACTGCAGTGTCAGAGATACTCTGTTGTCCATCTTTTAGTTCCAACATTAAACCATCTGCCATGGTTGGGTGGATGAGAAAGATCCTGTGGTGCAGTTTTAGACAGGAGTGTGGGATTTATTGCAGGGTCATGGGGCTAGAATTCGCCACTTGATCATCACCGCAGCAACAGATGACTTGGGGTCATAGAGTTGTACAGCACGGAAACGGACCCTTCGATCCGACTTGTCCTAAATTAATCCAGCCCCATTTGACCTGGATTCCTCTAAAACCTTCCTGTCCATGTACCCATTCAGATGCCTTTTAAACTGTACCAGCCTTCACCACTTCCTCTGGCAGTTCAATCCATACATGCACTACTCCTCTGTGTGAATAAGTTGCCCCTCGGGTCCCTTTTATAGCTTTCCCCCTCACCTTAAACCTGTGCCCTATAGTTTCGGACTCCCCTATCCTGGGGGAGAAGACCTTGGCTATGCACTCTATCCATGGCCCTCGTGATTTTATAAACCTCTATAAGGTCACCCCTCCGCCTCCGATGCTCCAGGGGAGAAAAGCCCCCAGCCTATTCAGCCTGTCCTATAGCTCAAACTGTCAACAACATCATTTTCTGAACCCTTTTCAAGCTTAACAACATATTTCTTATCGCAGGGAGACCAGAATTGCATGCGGCATTCCAAAAGACTTGATTTATTGTGCTTTGTTTTGCTGCAACATGAAAATTGATTGCCGCACATGCAATATTACAACAGTGACTAGACTTGTTTGGCTGGTTGGAAAACGCTTTGAGACAGCCTGTGGTTGTGAAGTGTGTTACAGAAATTCCATGCTGTTAGGCCACCATCCTCACCACCACATCACTAAAGCAGTCTCTGCACTGTTCGCATTAAACACTCCCAGAACAGGTTCAGCACATACTGAGTACCGGGTGGCACAGTGGTTAGCACTGCTGCCTCACAGCGCCAGGGACCCTGGTTCAATTCCAGCCTCGGGCAACTGTCTCTGTGGAGTTTGCACATTCTCCCTGTGTCCTTGTGGGTCTCCTCTGGGTGGGCTCTGGATTCCTCCCGCAGTCCACAAATTAGGTGGATTAGCCATGCTAAAGTGCCCTGTAGTGTGCAGGCTAAGTGGGTTAACTATGGTAAATGTGAGGTTATGGGGATAGGGTGGGATGCTTTTCCAAGGATCAATGTAGTCTCAATGGGCCAAATGGCCTGTAGGAAATTCTTTGAATTCAATGATAAAACTGTGGGTTTACTGCAGCTTTGAATGACTGTTGCCTGTATTAATCTAGCCTGATTTCTGTCTCTTTACTGCCTGCAATGTTGAGGCAAATTGCACAGCTGTCAAAACATGCTGCAGTCCTTTAGCCCTTCCTGGCCTCTTCAGTTCTGGATTTGGGTTCAGGATCCAGGAGCTGTTCTAAAAGCAAAATGTTACGGCTACTGGGAATCTGAAATAAAATCAATGCTGGAGAAATTCCACAGGTCCGGCAGCAACTTTGGGAGACAAAAACTGAATGAATGAACGTTTTGAGTTCAGTGTGACGACTCTTCAGAGTCTTGACTGCTTCCCCGTTTTGTCCTGGCGGATTAGTTTCCATTACTGGATACTTTGGGATATTGTATTTGGGGAAGAGGGCCTTGAGCAATTGGTTTCATGTTCTGTGCGTTGTGTCTCAGTCTCTCTTTATCTCTCTTACAGATGCCGATGTCAAAGCTTTAATTAAAGAGAGGCAGAAGAAAGACAATCATAACCTAAGTAAGTATTACGAGATAGTAGGAACTGCAGATGCTGGAGAATCTGAGATAACAAGGTGTAGAGCTGGATGAACACAGCAGGCCAAGCAGCATCAGAGGAGTAGAAAAGCTGACGTCCGCTTTCCTGCTCCTCTGATGCTTCTTGGCCTGCTGTGTTCATCCAGCTCTACACTTTGTTATCTAAGTAAGTATTAAGCAAGGCAGCCCCCACAGCCTACCCCCTCCTCAGTCCCATTCCAGCATGTAAATGTGACTCAACCCCCACCAGAGATTGCTTTAGGGCACAAGGTAAACTCGCCTGAGGAGGGCAGTATGCAAATGCAACAAGACCTCATTCAGCCAGCTTGAAAACTAAGAATGTGATGCTGACCGTGTGCTCAGAAGTGCTAAAAATACACGGTTGCAAGGTTATGAGTCATAGAGTCGTACAGCATGGAAACACACCCTTCGTCCATGCTGACCAGATATCTGTAAATTAATCTAGTCCCATTTGCCAGCATTTGGCCCATATCCCTCCAAACCCTTCATATTCATTTATGCATTCAGATGCCTTTTAAATGTTCTAATTGTACCAGCCTCTGCCACTTCCTCTGGCAGCTCATTCCATATGCACACCACCCTCTGCATGAAAAAGTTGACCCTTAGGTCCCTTTCCCCTCCCACCTTAAACCTATGTCCTCTAGTTTTGGACTCTGCTATGCTGAGGAAAAGGCCTTGGCTATTCACCCTATCCATGCCCTTCATGATTTTATAAACCTCTATAAAGTCACCCCTCAACCTCTGATGCTCCAGGGAAAATAGACCCAGACTATTCAGCCCCTCCCTATAGCTCAAACCGTCCATCCCTGGCAGCATCCTTGTAAATCTTTTCCGCGCCCTTTCAAGATTGGGCAACTGAGGCAAAGGCTGGAACCCTGCAGTGTTGGTGATCGATTATCAGATGGTGCGATGGGTTTTGGTTGAGACCTGACGTGGGAATGAGAGAGGAGAGTGCAAATGATTGAATGTGTAACGAAGAAAAGGAAGGAAGGGAAAACAACAGTGGGGTGGGGGGTGCAGGGAAGGGGGTGATGGGGAAGGTAGCCAACTCTGGCAGTGAGAAATGCGGGTTGGGAGTAGATAGACGTTGGCCTGAGAGAGATAAGGAAGGAGTCGGGTTATTATGAGAGGTCTATCGCAAATACAGTCTGTTGCTGTGGTAACCACTGTCAGTCCACTGCTTCCTGTTCATTTCATTTTCTTTCTCCTAACAGTTGAGAGGAGACGAAGATTCAATATCAATGATCGGATCAAAGAGCTTGGTGCTATGATCCCAAAATCCAATGATCCGTAAGTTTCCCTCCTCTTTCTGAGCACATCACTCAGCCCTCATCGATTCCGTTGTGAAGTTAGAGGGTGCAATCTGTGATGGAGTTGTTGGCTTAACTAATCCAGGCTAGACCACACCCATACTCTTGCCAAAGGGTACGGCATGGGGTTAGAGAGAGTAAAGCTCCCTCAACTCTATTAAATTGGAAGTGAAATACCTGTACTTCAGACTATAAAGTAAACAGACCATAAAGTTCGCTGTACCGCGAGCAACCCCAGGACAGGAACTGAACAGGGTTAGCTATAGACTAAAACTCCCTCTCCTCTATTCCCCCACCCATCAAGAGCACCCAAGGCAAGGACAGCACAGCGTTCAATACACAGTAAAACGATGTCTGCTCTTTTACACTGAAAGCAGACTTCAGTCTAGTCTTTTAAACGGAATTAAAAACTCACTCTATACTGTCCTGCACAACAATCCCAGGTAAGGGACAGCACAGGGTTAGATACAGAGTATATCTACATCTACATTGGTCCCATCAGATGCTCCCAAGACTGGTATAGCACTGTGTTAGATACAAAATAACTAACTTAAGCTCCCTTAACTCTTTTAAACGGAATGTAAAGCTCATTTAACACTTAAACAGAATGTAAAGCATCCTTCACTCTTTTTTGAACAGAAAGTTTGCTCTTTCAAACTGAAATTAAAGGTCTCTCTGCTCCTCTGAACAGAATGAAAAAGCTTCCTTTTATACTCTTAAACTGAAAGTAAAGCCGCACTGTGTTCTTTTGAACAGAAAGTAGAGTTTTCTCTGCTGTTTTAAAATGAAAGTAAAACTGGCTTTCCTATTTAAACCGAAAGTAAAGGTACTTCGAAACTGTCGCTTTCAAACACTGATGGGAGAGGGACAGCGTGGAATTAGATACAGAATAACACCTTCATTACTCTTTTAAACTGAAGGTAAACTTCTTCATACAGTAAACCCATCAAACTCTCTCAGCACAGGGTTAGTTACAGAGAAAAACTTTACCCCTTTAAACAGAAAGTAAACTTCTCTCAACAATGTTCCCATCAAACATCCTTAGACACCCTTATAGCATGGGGTTAGATGCAGGATAAAGCTCCATCCACACTGCCCCATGACTATTTGATGAGGACGGGTACAAGATGATCCGATGCTGATGGATTCTCTATTCGTGTTGTTTGTCAGCGTTGGGATCAAGGCTTTTCCTAGCTGTCTGGGTCTGGTTCAGCAGTCTCACAGAGCTGCTGTATGTGAACCATGAGTCAGTCCCTCTTAGCTTTTCTAAGTTGCTGTCTCTTCCTTCCTTCTCCAGGGAGGCTCGCTGGAACAAGGGCACAATACTCAAGGCATCTGTGGATTACATCCGGAAACTTCAGAAGGAGAGCAACCGTTCGAAAGAACTGGAGATCCGGCAGAAGAAATTGGAGCATGCAAACCGCACCTTGCTGCTACGGATACAGGTATGATCCCCATGGCAACCGTTTCTGGAGTTCGCGCGCAGTGTCCTGCACTTTACTGGGTATAACTGGGGTTGGCATCTCAAGGTGGGCCCTGTGATAAAATTGCACCAATTTGCCTGGATATTGTGCAGCTCCAGTAACACTGAAGAAGCTCAACACCATCTAGGACATAGCCTCCCTTCGATCAACACACCAACAGCCCCTCCCTACATTGACTGCTTCACCCCTGGTGCACAGCAATGGTAATGTGTGCTGTCTACAAGATGCGCTGCAGAATTTCACCAAGGCTCCTTCAACAGTATCTTGTTAAACCCTCTGCACTCAACCCCTAGAAGGGGCAAGGAAAGCAGATCCCTATGTGGGAGCACCACCCCCATGCCTTTGGTATCCAGACTTGGGAAAAGAAAATGTTGTTCATTAAGTGTTGCTGGGTTAAATTTAAAATCCTGCACTTCAGATCAAGAAGGCACCTCGCCACTACCTACCTGGGGGAAATTAGAGACCGGCAACAGATGCAAACATAGAAAGGCTTTGATGTGGCTTCAGCGTGAGACCTGAAACCATGCATTCATTGGCCACTCATAGAATCCCTACAGTACAGAAAGAGGTCATTTGGCCCATCAAGTCTGCACTGACCCTCCGTGGAGCATCCAACCCATCCCCATTACCGTGCATTTCCCATGGCTAATCCACCTGGCCTTCACATCCCCGGATATTACAGGGCAATTTAGCAGGGCCTGTCCGCCTAACCTGCACATCGTTGCACTGTGGCGGGGGGAAACCCATGCAGTCACCCAAGGCTGGAATCGAACCCAGGTCCTGTGAGGCAGCAGTGCTAACCACTGAGCCACCATGTCGCCCTATCTAACAATTAAGCTGAAATGCAGTGCTCCTCAGAAGCTACTTTCTCTACCCATGTCTCCCCCCTGTCTCCTCGGCCTCACTCCAGCTTGAGCTTCTTGCTTCTGGTGTAGACAAGCGAAGGTACTGTAGGGTGGATGAGTAAACTGACTACAGCACCGTGGTACACAGAGCCACTCAACAGGAGGCAGAAAGGAGAAATGTGGTTGTAATTGGGAATAGTACAGTCAGGGGAATGGAAGCTGCTCTCTGGCCAGGGTTGAGAATCCCAAAGGCTGTGTTACCTGGGTTCAGGATGTCTCATCTGGGCTGCGGAGGAACTTGAGGTCAGAGGGGAAAGATCCAGTTATCATGTAGGTACAAATGATACGCATAGAAAGAGGTTTTGCTGAAGGAATATGAGCAAATAGGGGCTAAGTTTAAAAAAACAAACCAAAATGGTACAAATCTCTGGTTTCCTATCTGATCCACAAGCTAACTGGCACAGTGTCAACAAGATTAAAGAGGTAAACACATGGCTCAAATTGGTATGGGAGAAATTGGTTTGAATTCCTGGGACGTTGGCGCCAATACCGGGGAAGGAGGCAGCTGTTCCGATGGGACAGGCTCTACCTAAATCATGCTGCAACCGGAGTCATGGCAAATTTCTCAACTGGAAACAAGGTAAATGAGCTTGTAGTGCAGAGTGAAATTGGCAGGTACGATGTTGTGGGCATCTCTGAGACACAACTGCAAGGGGAGCAGGGCTGGGAACTGAATATCCAAGGATATTAGGGGAGGCAATGGCCTAGTAGTATTATCACTGGACTGTTAATCCAGAGACCCAGATGACGTCCTGGAGACCTGTGTTCAAATCCCACCACGGCAGATGGTGGAATTTGAATTCAATACATGTCTAGAATTAAGAATTTAATGACCGTGAATCCATTGTCAGTTGTTAGGAAAACCCATCTGGTTCACTGTCCTTTAGGGAAAGAAGCTGCCATCCTTACCTGGTCTGACCTACATGTGACTCCATACCCGCAGCAATGTGGTTAACTCTTAACTGCCCTCTGGGAATTAGGAATGGGCAACAAATGCTGGCTTAGCCAGCGACACCCTCATCCTGTGAACAAATTTTTTTTAAAAATCGAAAGGACAGGCTGATAGGCAGAGGGGGTGGGTTTGTCTTCTTAGTAAGATATATGGAATTAAATCGATATCACAAAGCGATATAGGTTCAGAAGTCATAGAATCTGTGTGGTTAGAGTTGAGGAACCGCAAAGGCGGTAGAGACCCCAAAAGGAGTTGATGTACAAGCCTTCTAGCAATCATCAGGATGTGGGGCAGAAAATAACTCCGGAGATTGAAAAGGCGTCTGAGAAAGGTGTTGTTGCAATAATCATGAGGGACTTCAATATGCAGGTGGACTGGAAAAATCAGATGTTGGTTGTGGATCCCAAGAAAAAGAATTTGGATTTTTGGAGCAGCTTGTGGTAGAGCCCAGTAGGGAACAGGCAATTCTGGATTTGGTGATGTGTTATGAGCAGACTTGAGCTAATGCTGAAGGAACTGCTAGGGGACAGTGACCTTAATAGAATCCACCCTGCACTTTGAGAGAGAGAAGCTGGAATCAAATGTCATAGTATGATTAGTAAATGTAACTACAAAGACATGAGCGATGAGCTAGCTAGAGTTGATTTGGAAGGGGAGCATTGGAGGGAAGACGGTGGAATAGCAATGGCAGGAGTTTCTGGGGATAATTCGGGAGGCACGGCAGAAATTCATCCCGAGAGAGAAGAAACATGCGATGGGGAGGACATGGCAAGTGTGGCTGAAAAATGAATTCAGGGACCGCAGGAAAGCGAAAGAGCCCATAATATGGTGACGATTAGTGAGAAACAACTAAGAAAGCATTAAGGGGGAAGAAGTTGAAAAATAGGGGTAAGCTAGCTGGTAATGTAAAAGAAGATTGAAAAGTGAAGCTGGAGAAGTAGTAATGGGAATGACTTCTCTGTTGCTCAGCTTGGAGGACGTTCAGCTGAATGGTCTAAACCTATGTCCTGTGTTCCTGCTTTTTGTATCTTTATCATGGTAAAGTACTTGAAAAGATATTCAAGACTGTGGAGCTAGTGAGATATAGCACAGTTTTGGCAGTATAAATTTGATGGGCTGCAGGGCCTCTGCTGTGCTATATGATTCTATTCTAACAAAGAAATGGTAGAGCAACTGAATAAGTATTCATGTATCAGTCTTCATGGTAGAAGACATTAGTGACATACCAGACCTTCAAGAGTGAGGGGGCAGAAGTGAGTTCAGTGGCTGTCACTATGGAGAAGGTGGTCAGGAAGCTGACAGGTCTGAAGGAGGATAAATCACCCAGACTAGTTGGACTACACCCTAAGGTTCTGAAGGAGATAGCTAAGGAGGTTGTAAAGGCATTGGTGATGACCTTTCACTGAAGTCAGGGATGGTCCCAAAGGGCTCAAATGGCTAATATAATATCCCTGCTTAAGGAGGGAGGGAAGCAGAAGACAGGAAATTATAGGCTAGTTAGCCTGTCCTTGGTCATTGGTAAGATTTTGGAGTCCATTATTAAGGATGAGATTGCAGAGTACTTGGAAGTGTGTGGTAAACTAGTGCTGAGTCAGCATAGCTTTGTTAAGGGGATTTCATGCCTGAAAAATCTCTTAGAATTCTTTGAGGAGGTAATGAGCAAGTTAGACAAAGGAGTGTTATAAAGTGGAAGTTGACCCCTCCACTACTCCAAGAACCAAACCTGAAACACCCAAAGAGGAGCACCTTACCCTGTAATCTGTAAAAGGAGTGTGAAAAGTGGTGTAACCTGCCTTTCAGTAACTTCTAGTGGTTAAATAAAATAAATCCCTGACACTCACTTTACAATAAACAAGTAACAGTTTATTTATCTAACTCTAACAGTGAACAAATTAACTAAACTATTAACAAACCGAATAAGTCCCTTCTAACTACTAACTATTCCCAAATAAAGAAAGATTCTAATGGTATGCTGTTCCGATAATTACTTACATTAAAAAAATTTAGTCTCAAAATTACAGACAGATTGCATGTCTTCCAGAATGTTCGGTGCCTTCTCTGTCAATTCTTCTGTCAAGCAAGTTATGTAGTTGAACCGTTGGTACCATTGTTATTTAGATGGTGCTTTCTCTAAGACATAGAGGAGGCTATGAGAGCTAGCAATTCTCTCTTGAGCTAAGAGCCGTTAGCTCTGGCGGATGGCACCTAGTTCTGGGACTTTGTCTAACTGCCCCCTTCTTTTTACACCCTTGATAACATATCAATATTTCTTACAATAGGAACTGAAAGAATTACAGATGCTATAAATCAGGAACAAACAAAATGCCTAGCAGGTCTCTCCACAGTTGTGAAGAAAAATTATAGTTAGCATTTCGGATCCAGTGACCCTTACTCAGAACAGAACTATGTTCCGAGGAAGGGTCACCGGACCTGAAATTTTAACTGAATTTTCTTCATAGATGCAGCCAGTTTTGTTGAGCTTTTCCAGCAACTTCTGTTTTTGTTTCTTATATTAGGATTGGTCCTATGTTGTCAAAACGATCAGATTTGAATTTAATAGTTTTTTGGTATCTAAGTACCTGGTTGAAATTGATTGGCTAAATTCAAAAGCCTGTTGTCTCAGTAAAAACTGCTGCTTGGTCTGCTAACTGTATGGTCTTTTGGTACAAATGCTTCAATTCGGGTGCTCTCTGCGTACTTGCAAACTTTCAAGCTGCTACTCTGGCAAGCATTTTAAATCTCTAAGCAGAAAGAGTACATTGTCTTTTAAAGGGACCACGCAATGCTTTCCCCACCTAGCATTTACAAACACCAAATTCTAACTTCCTGCCTCCCCATCCACAACTACTCTACCCAAGTTTGCAACAAAAGCAAGTGGGTGTAATCTGTTTGGATTTCCTGAAGACCTTTGACAAAGTGCCACGTAGGAGCTTGCTAAATAAGACGAGAGCCCATGGTGTTAGAGGCAAGGGACTGGCATGGATAGAGGATTGGCTGACTGGCAGAAGGCAGAAAGTGGGGATAAAGACGTCTTTTCCAGGATGGCAGGCAGTGACTAATGGAGTTTCACAGTGTGGACAGTGTTGGGACCACAACTTTTCATGTTACACATTAACAATCTGTACAAAGGAACTGAGGGCAATATTGAAGATGACACAAAGAAATGTGGAGGGACAGGTTGTTTTGCGGAAGCCAGGAGGCTGCAGAAGGATTTGGACAGGCCAGGAGAGTGGGCAAAGAAGTGGCAGAAGTGAAATACAGTGCGGTAAAGTGTGAAGCTATGCATTTTGGAAGGAAGAATAGAGGTGCAGATGATTTTCCAAATGATGAAAGGCTTTGGAAATCTGAAGCACTGAGGGACTTGGGAGTCATAGTTCAGGATTCTCTTAAGATTAACATACAGGCTCAGTCGGCGCTTGGGAAGGCAAATGTAATGTTAGTATTCATTTTGAGAGGGCTAGAATGCAAGAGCAGGGACGCACTACCGAGGCTGCATTTGGCCTTTTTAGTCCCCATGTCTAAGGAAGGATGTGCTGGCTTTTTTTCTCACCCTTCTGTGCCAGTCTTGATTTTGCTGTGTCCCCCTTGCTGGAACCTGGTCCCTGTCTCTGTGTCTGTGTCTGAAGGCAGGCCAGGGATTTGTGGGGTGGCGGGGGGGGGGGCGGGGGTGGGCGGGGGTGGAGTTTTTGTCGAAGGCGGTGACTGTTATTCTTTCTTGTTCCCCACTTGACAGGAATTGGAGATCCAGGCCCGCGTCCATGGTCTCTCGCTGAGCTCCCCCTCGGGCTTGAACACTGCCCAGCTGGCCGCCCAGGTCATCAAGCAGGAACCACAGAGCAGCCAGGCCACTGTTGAGCGCCCAGTACTTCCCAGCATCCCCGAAGCAGCAGGTCCAAGCATGGACCTGGGCCTGGACTTGGGGCTGGGTATGACTGACCAGCCGCTTGGCTTCGACTCCCTCGCTGATTTGCCCTTCCCACTGAAGCTGGACTCTGGCCTGGGTGACATCCTAATGGACGACTCGCTGTCCCCGGTTGGAGCCACTGACCCATTGCTGTCTTCAGTGTCTCCCGGAGCCTCAAAAGGCAGCAGTCGACGCGGTAGCGTCTGTATGGAGGAAGAGCCGGGCTGTTAGAGAGACCTCCCCCACCAACTCAACATGGTCAAGTAACATTTCAAGAAGTCAGCAATCTTCTAGAATTTTCCAGACGCATCAACAACCTCCTAGAATCTTACAATTCAACAACCTTCTAGAAATTTCTGCATATGTCGATCTTAGAGAAATCTCCAGACATGTCAACAATCTTCTAGAAACATTTAGATTCTTCAGAAATCCTTCCAGAAAGCTCTGGACATGTCAGAAACTTTTTAGGAACTTCTAGGCATGTCAGAAACATCCGGCAGCCCTCTGGAAGCTTCCGGAACTGTCAGCAATCTTCTAGCAGCGTCAGTAAACTTCTGGAAACATCTGAACGTGTGGGTAACCTTCGAAAAACTTCACGAACCATCAACTCTGTTCAAAAAAAAACTTTCTCTGTTTTTATTTTTTTAAATGTTTAATTTCTGTTTGTTTTACTTTCATTTTAGTGAACTCGAATCTCTGGCAAGACCGGAATTATGCCCAAAATTTAACAAACTGAGGATCCCTTGTCGAGGATCCCGTGGGTCTTTTAAAGGGATAGTGCGCTTCGTGATTATTCATTTATTATTTCTTTGGCCAGTGCAGTTCGGGGAAAGGCCGTTGCTACGGCTCATTTCCGTTTCTTCAGCGGCGCTTTGTTTGTCCTTTCTTGGCCCTCTCTCCACCAGGCACACAACCCACCCCATTCCTAAACAGAAAGGCCCAAACCGTGTGTCCTTTGCCTGTGCAGTGCTAGCTGTGACCATTAATAGGAGCAAGAAAAGGCTCCACCAATTCTGTTCCACTAATCGGAAAAAAAAACCATGACTGATCTGATTGAGGCCTCAACGCCACCTTCCGAGAATCCTTGACTCTTTGTTGGTCAAAAATCTGTCTAACTCAGCCTTGAATATACTCAGTGACCCAGACTTGAGCACTTTGTGGGACAACATTCGTCTAAGAGATGAAATTCCTCTTAGTTTCCATCTTAAGTGGGAGACCCCTTATTCTGAAACCATGCTTCCTTGTTTTAGACTTACCCCACGCAAGATTGAGGGAGAACATTGCTGTCGCTCTCACTCTCGCTCTCTCCTCCTCCCCCTTCAGGACCTGAAATGTTTCAATGCGGTCACCTCTCATTCTTCTCAACAGCCCAACCTGCTCACCCTTTTACAATCAGCCAAATGAACCTTATCTGAACTGCATCCAGTCCAAGTCTATTCCCCCTTGAGTAAGGTGACCAGAAATGCCTATATATCCAAGAATTTGAGGGACTTGCAGGTCAAGAAGTAGGTGGATGAGAGGGCAACTGGCTGGAATTTGTAGCTCCGCTTGGGTTAAGCATCTCTGGGATAGAGGGGATGGGGCAACAACGGGAGAGAAAGTCTTCTCTCTTAAACACCAGAGGGTGGCTAATGAACTGGGCCAGTGGACTGAAGCTATACCAGCATGTACATTGCAGAGATCATATAGTAATAGCACAACTTCAATGAGCAAAGTATCATTTTCACCATGCCAGTGTTGCAGTATGGTCGGTATTTGTTTAACAGATCTGTATAATAAAATTTTATACTCGTACTGTTTAGCCTGACATCTTCATTGACTTTGCATGGTTGGGGAAGGGTGGTGGGGAGTATTTGTGTATACCTGTAACAAGAGAGTGCCAGTACACGTGCATTTCCCATCATCAGGCTCTCAAAAACCAGCACCCTCCGCCTCTCTGCTCCCTTTCCTGGAATTGGCTGTTGTCATTTACACGCTGTCCTGACACACTTCCAGGTGTGTGGATGACCCTTTGACTGTTCAGTTGTTAAAAGTGGAAAGCTGAGGATGCAATACAGAACTCTGGATCCTGCCATACCCTAGAGGTTGTGACAGCAGAACTGTGGATGAATTCAAGGTGTTAATGTGAGGCAGAGACCTTGGTAGACTGGATGTGGAAATGCTGTCGCTCCTGTGGAGGAGGGCAGAGTTAGGGGTTATGACTAGGAGTCAGTGACTATCAAATCCAATTGGCAACTCGGAAGAAACTACTTGAAGCATGAGAATTGGAACTGTCTTTTGCAAGAAGTGCTTGAGGTGAACTGTGCTGACTAAATTCAGTGCAGAATCTGAAGAACCTCACGAGGGCAAAAGGAATTGAAGGATTTCCTGAAGGCTTTTGAGTGACACTACCACTGTGCCACAATCTCTGGGCCAGGAGGCCAGAGTTCAAGTCCCACCTATTCTAGAGGTGTACGATAACATTTCCGAACAGGCTGATTTGAAAATGTCTAGACGAGTATGTTGAGAGGGTGAGTTGAGTGGAAGTAGAAAGATCTGTGGAGCAGAAACAGCGGGGAACAGAGCAATGGACAGAGTGGCCTGTGTGTCTCTTTAAGAATAATTTGGAACATTTGGTCCTCTTCCGCTGGACTTTTCCCCAAACTTTTTAAATGTTTCTCTAACGCATACTTATCCCATTCCTGTTCTGAAACCTGTTTTTAGATATTTCCCTCATTGTGTCAAGAAGGAATCCCTCACCCCTCCATTACCACACATCCTGCTGTTAATCCATGTTCTCTCCATTAGATTTAGCTTTATTGTCACATACTCACATGAGTAATGTGAAAAGTTTACACATCTCTACTTAACGGTGCCATCTTAGGCACCTAGGTACAGAATCTTAAGTACAAATTCTTAGCTTAGAAAAACAAGGGAATAAAAATGAAGAGATAGGAGTTCAGAACCTTGAGGGCAGGAGGCAGAGTCTGCGTTGAGGCCAGGAGTCCACGCTGTCTTTCACCCTGGACGTCGCTGATGCTGCCCGAGGGCAGGAGGTGAAAAGAAAATGTGAAAAGAGACAGGAAATGAAGAGAAACGGATGGAGCTCAGGAGTCCTACTCTGTTACCATCTTGGAAGGATCATTGTCACCTTTGTACTTTGGGTGATTGGTCTAAGGCCATTGTGGGTCTACCTACAGCATGTGGACTGCAATGGTTCAAGAAGGCAGCTCACCACCACCTTCTCAAGGGCAAGTAGGGACAGGCAATAAATGCTGGCCAGTTGGTGACACCCACATCCCAGGAGTGAATTTAAAAAAAAACTTGTCTCTCCAACATATTTGCATCTGACCTCAAGTGTAAGCGCCCAAAACTACGCAATACTCTCCAGCTTGGTTGTGAGAGGCCAAAGGATTGGAGGAAAGGAGGGAGGGGAGCCGCTCAGGACAAACCCTCCAACAAAAATCCAGACCTTCTTTGCAAAGGCACGTTCCAAACGGAGATGTGTAACAGTATGCTCATTCCTGCAGTTGCTTCGAGATCAGCGTGCAGTGGCACAGAGTCCAGGATTATGTGAAGGATCTGATGGGCAGTGCCCTTCCTACCAACAGCCTGACTATGTCTTGATGTTTGTTTGCAAGTTCTGGCGATGAGATATTCTGCCAAATGACTTTGCCAGTCTGTGCAGGGAACCGCCTGAAACGATCAACCCTCTCTTTTTCTACAGGGTTTTGAGGACATTATGTGCTGACCACTTCCTGATGGGCTTGTGGTTAAGGGTGTCGTTGTTTTCAAATGTATCCACGAGGGACAGGTGATAGGCAACGATTGAAGTATTAGGAGCATTCCATGAGCAGACACTTCCTTTGCGACACTGGGGACAGGTAGAACCTCCGGTACATAGTGAGGGTACTGAGGATCTACACACTGCTTATGCAGCCATGCACAAAGGTGGCCAGCATGATGAAGGCAGCATTGGGTGCATCCTCCACCCTGCCCCTACTTATCCAGAACTTTGTACATGATGTCCCTGTGGATGTGTTCCACCTTGGACCTCCCAGATGAAGTGGAAAATGGCTCAGCTGACCACTGGCTTGGGGAGTGGGCCAGACCTGCACCACGTACAGCAGCATTGAGTCTGTTTCATACCCGATGACCAAGTTTTGAACATCACTGAGCATCACTGCTCAGTTTCTGCCTCACCTTGGTGATGCAGTCCTCCCACGTTGTAGCATACAGCCTGGTCCCCTTCAAGATCTTTTGGTAATCTTACCTGACGTTGAAGGGGGTGAAGGATCAGTTGGCCCAGTTTCCAAAGAACATGGCCTTGCTCTTGGCTCCTGAACTGGTCACTTGCTCGTGAGTCTGCGCACTGATAGTGGATCCAAGCAGAAAACGATGATGTCATCCACGTACAGGGAGGTTTTGACCTGGAGGCTTTGACCTGCAGCCTTCCGCTGCCTGGAATAGTCACCCCTCTCAGGCTTGTGTCCTTCTCCATGGACTCCGCAATAAACTGTACACAACAAGACAGGAGAGCTTTGCCTGACTCCACATCTGATCGGAAAGCTTTCAGATTCCCACCCATTCATTAGACTGCACTAATGACACTCGTGTAGAGCAGTTGGATCCCGATTGCAGATTCCACTCCTATGGCCCATTTTGGAGAACGCGTCCCACATGCACATGTGCCGAAGACTTCTCCTGGTCCAGGCTGATGAGGCAGGCATCCTGCCCCCTGTACTCCACACAGGCAATTGTATCCCCGAGGAGTGCCAGCTACCCAGTACAGCACAGATTTGGCTGGGATGAATTACCAATCCCAGAGCAGCCCTGGTGATGACCTTAGGCAGGATTTTGTGTTCCACATTCAACAGTGAAATTGGTTGCCAGTTTCTAATTTCCTCCCTCTTCACCTTCCGATGGTAGACAATTGTATGGATTTGCACATGAATCAGAAGTATACTGTCTTACACCTCCAGCAGGTCCTGGCCAATCAAGTCCCACAGAACTGAATTCAATTCGGTCAGTAAGGTGTCACTTCCAGGAGTTTACTCTTCTCAAAGGGCTCGAGGGCTTTGCTCAGCTCATCCAGGGAATAACAGCTGGTCCAGTCTCTCCTGTGTGCTGTTGTCTGAAACCTCCATGATAGAGGACAAGAATTACTGGGAGGCTGTGCTGTCAGTGGGCATCGTGTCATACAAGGATTTGCTGACTGTCAGAATGAGATGACATTACCGAGCCATCATCTTCCTTCAGGCTGCTGAGCACAGAGCTCTCCTTGTGCACCTTCTGGAAGAAGAAACATGAGCACATCTCATCATGCTCCACAGTGTAGACCCTGGACTGGAAGATTATCCCAGAGGCTGGCTCTTCACCTCCTGGAGATTTTCCTTGATGTTAATACCACCCCCGTGCCCGCCCCCCACCCCCCTCCACCACCCTGAATTGTCTGTAGCAGGAGGAGGTTCTGCAGCATTTCTGGGGTTTGGACAGTTTTCCCCAACTGTCTCTCGTCTTCTGACACCCTTTGGGGGTGAAGAACGTCTCGATATCCCCTTAATGGTTTCCCTCCAGTCTGCTGGGGACTCAAAGAGCAATTTCACGGTCTCCAACCTTTTTGATCCCTTTGGAGTTCCTTAATGTTTTCTGAGGTCAACAGTTTCACTTTTTTTGGTTTCGAGTTCCCTTGTGGGCCCCTCTGCTCATCCTGTAAGTGACAGTCAGCCAGCAGGAAGCAGTGATCAGAGAAGAATATTGGATTGACGTTGATGGATCTGACCAAGAACGTTTGGGACAGAAATGGAAAACCTATCTTTGAACAGATAGACCCGCCTGGCTACGACCAATTGTATCTATGCTGCACTCCATCTGCAGGGGTGCTGAAGACAACATTCAGCTTGGCATGTTTAACTGTTTCCAACATGAATCTGGATGTGGAGTCCAGTTTGCTGTCAGCCCCTTTGAATCGTCTATCCACAACAATAATACAGTTGATGTCGCTGGCCAGGATGACCAGCCTAGACATTGCCAGTAGCAGTGAGAGTTGTTGAAGGATGGCTAGATACTCGCTCTTTATTACTGGGGCATACATGTGAATTAATTAGCCAGGTAAGTCCATGTGTAAGTACTTTGCATACTGGCTTTAATACTGCATATGTTAATATTGGCATTTTTCAAACCCATTTTAGAAGTTTTAGATCTCTATTGTTATGGACCAGAGCAGACCCCTGAAAATATATAAGAAGGTAGTATAGACCCTAATGTGAATTAATGTCAGGGCAGCATTTTGTATCATAAGATCTGCTACAAGGAGACACCCGCCCACCACATCCATCTCAGAGATGGTCACGTTGCCTCCTCGCAGCGGAATACCCAGGCCAATCATTAATCCTTAACCAAATCCATAGGGACATGGGCCCACAAGTTGGATCATTTTCTGTAGTTGCTGAGGTACAGTATCCCACACTCCTGCGAAAGCAGGAAGTTCCGCTTTGGCATTGGCCAGGTAAGTCAATGTGGAAGCACTTTGCATACTGACTTTAATACTACATATGTTAATGTTGGCATTTTTCAAACCCATTTCAGGAATTTTAGATCTCTATTGTTATGGACCAGAGCAGGTGGCGTAGACCATAACTTTTTTTCTTATTTTAAAGGTAAATGTGAGGTGCCGTGTTCCAGATGCAATTCAATTGGTCACAATATTCAATGTTAAGCAAAACACAATTTATTCAAACACTGGTTAAAATACAATATAAAAGAGGAACTTGCAATAATGACTGTATTGGAAAACTTAACAGGATAATAGATCA